ACTGCCCCGCCGGGCCCCTGCCCCCCTGGAGCGCCCCCGCCGGCCCCGCTCCCTTTGGCTCGCCGCGCCAACACGGCCGGCCGGGCACTCTGCCGCCGGGGCCAAGCGGCCAAGCCCTCAACGCAAACACCCGACATATTTATTTCTTCCATTTTTCGCGCTCGGCTTTGCAAGGATGTTGTGGGGCCTCCGTGCCGGCTCCCTGTGTGTGATCTAATAGTGCCCGGCCGGTGAATAGGATCAATCGACCGTCATAATGTGAGTGATGCTGCATGCGTCCCCGCATCTTGTGGAGCTCGCCGTCTTTCAAGGTGCAAGCGTCGAGTTGCATGAGAGAGTGGCAAATTTCCGGCCGGTGGTGTGGGTGGTGGGCCCGCAGCGTCGCTACCTCAATACTTAATTAAAAATAACCGAAACCGGTGACTTCATAACCATGTAGGTGGTGGCCTCACGCGGCGCGGCGGTGACCCGTGCACACAAGGCTACTGGCACTCCTAGGTTCACGCTCTCTCCGCCTCGCTCGCACACACACATGAAATGTCAGCGTCGATGAGGCAGACGTGCGACGACGCCGTGTCACGATGCACGACGAGTCGGAGGCCGGCGAGGCGAGCTTCGATCACCGACTCGGTCATCACCATATCATCACCATCATCGTGACCGAAGGACCTTGGCGAAGACCAACGGTTTCGTGTGTCCAGAAACGCCCCATGCCTCCCTCCCTCCCCTTGTGATCCTCTCTCCTTGCTGCTGTCTCGCTCCTTCTCCCTCTCTCCCTTTCCGGCGCGCGTGAAAGGCGCGGTGAAAGGCCACCTTTATACGGCAGCGCGTGCGTATTTTGGCCGCTTGGCTGAGCGCGTGACAGCAGCCCGCCGCTATGGAAACGTATAAAGTCTGCCAGGGCAGGGGAGCACCTTGCGTATGAAACATTCACCGCGATAACTGTCATATTTTTTTCCGCTTACCGCCCCCTTCCACCTGCTCAGCCACCCCCTCGCATCCCTTTCTTTGACCCTTGCCTCCTGCCCGCCTGTCCCCGCGGCGCGCGGCCCGGCCCCCATGGCCGCGGGCGGACAGCCACCCGCAGTAGCTACAGTGATTCCCTCTGATCAGCCGACCGGAAAATGAGCAAGTATGCAGATGATTAAATTCGGACGCTTTCTGGATTTGGCGGGGAGGCCTCGACTGTGGGACGACGCGTGCCGCACTCTTCCTCATTCGGGCCGACCCTCGCAGCCGAGCGCGCTGCGGCGCGCTGCTCACCGGCGCCCCTCTACCACTCCCCGTACTTTACTCAGCCCCTTCTCTCTCACTCCTAAAAGCGCTCTCTCGCTTCTATCTCGCTCCCCTCTTCCCCACTCCTCTATTGGGCCTCTCTGTTTCCTCTCCTCTTTCGCCCTTCTCTGACTCCTACCTTACCCCTCTCTTGGTCCTCTCTTGGTCCTCTCTTGGTCCTCTCTTGGTCATCTCTTGCTCCTCTCTCGCTGCTACCTCACTCCTCTCGGCTCCTCTTTTGCTCCTCTCTCGCTCCTCTGTCGCTCCTCTCTTGCTCCTCTCTCGCTCCTCTCTCGCTCCTCTCTCGCTCCTCTCTCGCTCCTCTCTTGCTCCTCTCTCGCTGCTACCTCACTCCCCTCTCGCTCCTCTCTCGCTCCTCTCTTACTCCTCTCTCGCTCCTCCATCCCCTTCACCTCACTGCTCGCTTTAGTAGATGACAAACGCGCGGCACTGACAAAGGCTATAATCACGGTGGGACGCTGGTCGATGTTATCGAAACCGTTTAATCATAGAGCGCGTACGAGCGACCCATACTGAGAGATACGGGCAGCGCAGCCGCGCAGCCGCGCAGCGAGCCTGGGATTTATTTTTCCATCCGCGATGACCAAACCGGCGACCGAGACAGACCAAAGAAAGGCGAGGAAGTGGAGGAAAAACATTTGATTTGTCGATATGATATGATGCCGATCTCGCTTTATTAAATATATATAGTCTTGTTTTTGCTTTTATCCATTCTTCTTTTTCTAGCAGCCTGTGTTCGTGGCGCGGCAAGAGATTTGTAGAAGTGTCACTCCGGTCTTCCTCGTGGCCGCTCTCACCCCCTCCCCCCGCTGCGCCATTGCAAACAAAGCTACATCATACCCGCGAAATCAATCACGGTGGATTGTGCCTGATAGATGTTGTCGCTTGGGGGCCCCGCCCGCCACGCCACGTCACGCCACGCCAAGCAACGCCCAGGTGGACGGGTCCTGCAGGCGCCGGGGCGACCTTGAGCCTCCTGGTCCAAGCTCCAGGGGAATGGCACGGAGTCGCGGTTTCTGCGCGTGGATTAAGCTGGGAATCGGAGACATGACGTTTCTACCGACGAAGCATGTCGCCCCCCAAGTCAAACGTTACCATTTCTTTGGTCCGTTCTACACGGTAAGCGTTTGAAAGTTTGGATACGGACGACTGTCTACGAGGGCAGAGACTGTGCCGCAGGTTGTTTTTATTGCCTTTCTTTCCAATTTGAAAAAGTAGATGTAAATCTCTTGGCGCGATGGGCGCCACGCTGCGCCACGCCGCGCCACACTGCGAGTTCCTGGTGAGATACCCATTACCAGGACAGCTGCACCATGCTGCGCCCTGCGGGACCGAGCAAACACAGCGAGCACTTTGGGAGACATGGCGCTGCTGCTGCTGCTGCTGCTGCTGCTGCTGCTGCACTGCTGCACTGCTGCACTGCTGCACCGCCCGCTGCAGGCAGGTCGCGCCGTGGAGCGAGGTGTGAAGATGCGACGGCTAGATGTGAGCGAAATGACGGGTGTGGTGCGACAGCAACGACACACACTCCGCACCCCTCTATTCCCCCTCCCCTCTCTCTAATGCTATGATAGGCCCGGCGCACCTCGCGCGTGACAGGGGCCGCCCCTCGCTGCAATGGGGCCCTCATTACAGCTCTCTGCGCGCCCCTAGTTGAGCTGGCGAAATGAATTTTAAAAGCTGCACGCGGAAAGCGCCGTAAAATGTACACACACCGTATATATTCCTTTATTCGCGACGATAAAAGTCTGGTTCCCGTGTGTCAGTCCTTTGCTGTCTCTCATTCACCTCGGTCTTGTTGCCGTGTTTTCATATTCCGACCCTTTCTCTCGCAGTGTAAGGAACAACACTTGACCGCCTCCATTCCAACGAGTCACCTAACCTACCGTGTGTGCCGTCCCTCGGGGCCCAACGATGTGGTCGCTGTAACGGTCACCAAAACAACGTCGTGTCCGAGAGGACCATGTTCATCATGTGGTGTAGCGTGGCGCGGCGTGGCGCGGGGGCCCGGGGCCCGGGCCGGCGGGGGCTAGAGGTCCCCCCTCCGACCAAATCTATCTTGTCTCCGGCTGGTTATAGACAAAGCCTCGCTGCTGGCTGGCCACTGCCTGATGATGG